GTGGTTTTTTTTTTATTTAAGTCTGTTTTTAAGGCCCCCCCCCCCCCTTTTTTTTTTTTTTGGCCAGCTGACAAACATCAGCATTAGGAGCAGCTAATCTCATAATGTGGTGGAGTTTCCCGCTGCAAAAATGTTTTGACTGCTTCCGACATTTTATGTAACTTCACTTTAAAATGTGAAAACCCTACAAAGAACAACCACTGATAGCAAATGTAAGACACTGTGAAATATCAAATAGAGAATACACCAAACTGATGTGAAAACAAAGATGTTTAGAGAGAAATTGATGGCTATAGGTAATGCCTGCTAAGAAGCCTGTTAAAGAAATATTTCTGAATTGAACTTAAATTCATTATGATCATTGTAGCAATCATACATTGTTGTAAGAAACAAAATGCTTCCTGTAGAACTTGCTTGAGAATTGCTTTTGATTTGAAAATTGGCCATGTTTTGGCCAAGATGGCCAAATGATTTTTGCTCTACCCTGATATCCCCCCCAAAATGTGAACATGCCCAAGTCATTATTGTGAACTGGATTATTTTTTCACCTTCACCATCAGAAATCAACAGATCACTCAGACTTACTTCTTGGTCTTCTAATTCTTCTTAAACCATCTTCCTTGACGTTTTTGCAAAAGTATGTCCCATGTGTGGTTAACTTTTACAACAACGTTTGTGCTTTAGATACTTTTGGTTCTGATTTTGACTTTATTAGTTATCAGATGTCTTGGATGAGCTCCTTTACATGTCTATTTACTCTAATATGATCCATAAAACTTACTATACGATTTGTTCAACTACCACTTATTTTTTGTCCTGGTTTGCGTAAAGATTTCTACTGTCCATGTTCACCATACAAAGATGTAAAATTGCAAAGTCGGCAAAAAATAAAAATAAAAAAATAAGTTTTTGCTTAGGAAGGCACATGCAGTTGTATTCCAATCAGCTGTCACAAACTGTGAAGGCAGATGGAAAGCTTAAGGTTTTAAGCAGACTGTGAGCAGCTTTTTTTTTTTATTGAAATGTCTGAATCCACATCCCTTTATCTTTCTAAATTGTCCTGAATTTGGCTGTCTGTGGCCCAAGGACCCCATGCCAGCACTTCAGTACTCTCAGCTAAAACATCAGAGAAATTGGTTGATGGAAACAAGCCTGTAAAAGTGCATCTGTATTTTCTGAATTTCCCTCCAAAAAAAAAAACTTTGAGTTCTTGTTTTAAACCCACTCTTTGAAAGGAGTCCTCAATTTTTAAAGCATTCCACATATCTGACAAGTCAGATCAGCTAAAAGATATAGGTTATGCCTCTGCTGATACACAAAGGCCCAGGCTTTGTATGCTGCTCTGTTATTGCTATGAGATGCAGCCAACAGCTGAAAGGTTTGACCATTTAACTGAGCAACTCAAATACCCTTATTGTTTTGTGTAACTCATTCAATTATATTAGACTGAAGAGCAACACTAATACAGTGCATTACAAAAAATATTCACAAAAACTCAGCTATTTTGATACATTAGAAACAAAATGTCCAATGTGTTTTATTGAGATTTTTTTTTTTTTTTTTTACAAATACAGATCTGTGTAGTGTGACTTGCATTTCTATTCAGCTTCCCTCCATACTTTCTAAAGTCACTTTTAACCACAATTACTGCTGGAAGTTTGTTCTTGCTGGATTCTTCCGGCTTTATGTATCTGGAGATTGAGCTCTGCCAGACTGGATAGATGACAATTATAAACAGCGATGTTCAAGTCTTGCCACAAACTGTCAATTGGATATAAATCTGTACTTTGACTGGGCCACTTTGACACTGAATAAATTTAGGTCAGAACCATACCATCTAATTCCAAGTTGACCTGGGTATTCGTTTAAGACCATTGTGCTGCTGGAAGGTAAACTTTCTCTACATTTGCTGTTTTATTGTTGGACTTACATGTGTTTAGGTCCGTCAATTTTTGCATTAACTATGAGTGGCATCCCTGTCATTGCTGATTAAAAGCATACCCAAATCACAATGTCACAACCACTAACCTAATCTTTAACAATGACATGTTCAGTTAGTTAGTTTTACATTTTCTTCTTTTGCATGTAGGCAGAAATCTGACCAGACCACCTTCTTCCATCTATTTGTAATGTCCCCTAAATTAATTGTGGCAAACTTTCAACTGGACTTTTGCATGACTTTATTTTAACATTGCCTTGTTTTTTTCTTTCTCCTTTTCTCTTTGAGTCACCAAATTTGTATAGGGCATTAGTGATATTTGTCATTTCAACAAATTCTCCCGCTGGAGCTGTGGAGCTCTGCAGCTCCTCCATTTAGCGAATAACTATTGGCAGCTTCTGTTGTTTAATGTTTAATGTGTGAGAATGTTGGATTGTAACCTGACTTTTTCTTAAACGTCTCCACAACTTTATCCCTGCCTTTTCTGTTGTGCTCTTTGGTCTTCATGATGCTGTTTATTCACATATATTCTCTAATAAACATCAGAGACCTTCACAAAACAGTTAAATTTATACTTGGATTAGATTACACAGAGGCAGACTCCTTTTACAAAGTAGTTGAAGGAAGGTAATTGTCCCTACTAGATTGTATTTAGGTGTATCAGGTAAAAAGCTGCAGAATACAAACACCTTCTACAGTGGTTATACCTTTATTTGTATAAAACATAAAAAACATGACTTTAAAAAAAAAAAAAAAATTATTACCGAGTAGCTTTGTGGTGATATTTAACAAAAAAGTCCAGTTAAATACAGCAATCTCTGGCTGTGTTGTTAAAAACACATACACAAGTTCAAGGGGTATGAATACTTTTGCAACTCTTTGTAATTATTTTAGTTATGGTGAAATCTAGTGCAGAGAACATTATGCTGTAAAACCTCCAGGAGGGGCCAGGGGTCTAATATTCCAGGAACAACTCGAGGTGCAGGTAACCCATGTCATACTTCGCATTTACAGAGGATCCAATAAAGTGTTCTGTCGACCTTAAAGCTTTCCAGTTTTCTCAATGAGAATATAATAAGCAGCTGTAACCCTGAGACACTCCCAGGCTTGTGTCCTCAGCTACAAGAAAACCTTTGCTGGGTTTCTTATCAGGTTCTAAGGATATCGTGTAAGACAATACATGTGAGAAGTGCAGAGTGAACAATGGGCGGAAAGTGCAGTGTGATATGAGGGGGACTAGTGTCAGTGGATATTGCTGAGGCCTTTGTTGCCTTCGAGTACCCTGGAAACTCACAGCTAACGTTATTTCTTTCATTCAGGGCCTCGTGATCTGGGGTGTGATGAAATTCTCCAGCAAGTGATGTTCCTTATACTTCAGTGATGAAAAAGTCTGTGGGAGCGCAGAGTGTCCCTTTTTTCTTTGACTGGAGGTCTAAAAGAGAATTTACCATAGATCTCACTATTTTCGTCCACAGAGTTGTAACAGTTATTGTTCCAGTAAAATTCAATACATGGATTTTTTTAGGGAAAACTAATTTTTTTGCAACAATTTGTCTCTTTCAGGTGGAGAGTTACGCGACTGAAGAAGAGAGGAGGCTGATTTTTGGCAAGAGGAAGATTTGAGATTCACTGGACTCTTGTTTTGCGTCAAAATAGCAGAACATTGATCCAGCTCAGCATCGCCGAACAATCGAGCAATGTTTTTTTCTGCCAAACGATTCGCGAATAGGTGGAGAAGTGTAATAGAACAACACCAGACCCAAAAGTAATGACATACATATGCTGCTAAATGTCTGTAGCTGTATCATGAATTAAAAGTTGCATTCACAAAATGATACCCAAAAAATGTCGTCAAAAAATGTGAACAGTTTGGTGTAAAGCACTGGGGCAATTAGAAGATGCTCATGTAAAGCCTCAACAAGAATTCCCCTTACAATATGTTGAAAAAAACAACATAGGCTAAGGATGAGCATGTTTACCGGCCAAAAGAAAAGCGCCGCAAAATTTTATGGACTGATGAAAAGAACTTTTTTGTTGGATCCAGAGCACACAGCAGGCTTGTCGGACGAACCCAAAATACTGAGTTTAAGCCAAAGTACATCAGTTTACACCACATCCTTAATTATTATGCAAATTGGATTTAAGTTTCAAAGATTACATTTTTTGTTGTTCCATAAAACTCATAGATAATTTTGTCTCATGGCTTTTCGAGTCACTATGTAACTAATCTCAGTCACCTGTGCTGATTAGTTTGCCAGGTGAGCTCAATTAAAGTAAAACCACTAGAGAAAGATTTTTAATATTAAAGCCAGCCACAGGTTTCAAGCAACATGGGAAGGGGCACGGATCTCTCTGCTGCTGAAAAGCGTCAGATTGTACAGTGCCTTGGCAAAGGAATGAAAACATTAGATATTTCACAAAAACTGAAGCGTGATCATCGTACTGTGAAGAGATTTGTGACTGATTCAGAGCACAGACGGGTTCGTGCAGATAAAGGCATAATTAGGAAGGTTTCTGTTAGACAAATTCATCAGATTAAGACAGCAGCTGCTAAAATGCCATTACAAAGCAGCAAACAGTTATTTGAAGCTGCTGGTGCCTCTGGAGTCCCACGAACCTCAAGGTGGAGGATCCTCCAGAGGCTTGCTGTTAAAGCATCTATTCGGCCACCGCTAACCAGCGATCAAAAGCAGAAACGGTTGCACTGGGCCCAGACATACATGAAGACAAATTTTCAAACAGTCTTTTTCACTGATAAATGTTGCGCAACCCTGGATTGTCCAGATGGATGGAGTAGTGGATGGGTGGTGGATGGCCACCACGTCCCAACAAGACTGCGAAGTCAGCAAAGAGGTGATAGAGTCATGTTTTGGGCCGGAATCATGGGGAGAGAGCTGGTCGGCCCCTTTAGGGTCCCCGAAGGTGGGAAAATGACCTCAACAAAGTATATAGACTTTCTTACTCATCACTTTCTTCCATGGTACAAAAAGAAGAGCCGTGCCTTCAGTAGCAAAATCATCTTCATACATGACAATGCACCATCTCATGCTGCAAGGAATACCACGGTGTCATTGGCTGCTATGGGCATAAAAGGGGAGAAGCTCATGGTGTGGCCACCATCTTCTCCTGACCTCAACCCTATGGAGAACCTTTGGAGTTTCCTCAAGCAGAAGATCTATGAAGGTGGGATGCAGTTACATCAAAACAGCAGCTCTGGAAAGCGATTCTGACAGCCTGCAAAGAAATTCAAGCAGAAACTATCCACAAACTCACAAGTTCAATGGATGCAAGAATTGTGAAGGTGATATCAAAGAAGGGGTCCTATGTTGACATGTAACTCGGTCTGTTAAGATGTTTTTGATTGAAATAGCTTTTGGTTTTAGTACCTGTCACCACCTAATGCTGCACGTTCAAAGAATGACAATGTGCAGTTCTTTATAAGCCATGAAATGTTTTAAAAACCTGTTTTGCATAATAATTTGGAACAATGCATTTGAGGGGTTTTTTATTTTTGAAAAAAATCCTGTAGACATTGGGAGGTTTGTTGAATAAAGTTGAATTTATACCCTAAATGTTCATGACTTGGAAATTATACTGACCATCATTTGCATTGATCATTTACAAAAATATGAAAAAATATCACTTGTACAATAAATTGGAACGTGGTGTTAATATGTCATAGTACTTGAGGATGTCCTGTTTGGTCATGTCTAAATTGAAATGACATTAGAATTAGTGTTTTAACAACACAACATGGTCCAACACACCATTAAACTGACCTGTATTTTGTTTCTAGACAGATAAAATTATAGTTACAAAATGCCTAGCCCAGTCCTGTGACATTAATTCAACAAAAAACTTGTGAGGTGACTTCAAACATGCCGTTTCTGAGACAAAATGAAGAAATGCAAAGAATTGTCTAAGGCTGAGTACATAAAGCAGTTCTCAGAAACTGATTTTACAACTAATTAGTCAATTGCTCAGAAATGTTTGGAAAATCAAAATCTGCAACCATTCTTCAGTTTCTATATTGGATATTATGCAGTAAATATTTGAGAAAATTGGACACTTTTTGCTGTTTTCTTGCCTACACTAGATTTTATTTGCCTTATTTTTGTGAGCCAAAAGTAATAATAAATGTGTCGCTTTATAATTTTAGACATAATATGTGGCGTTGTCAATGATTTCGCCTGCCTGGCGAAATAAAAACTTTGTTCAGGATTATGAGTTTTGCCAACATTTTTAAATACACTGCTATTGTTTTTAAACAGTTTAATTTTATTTTATTTAATACGCCAATTTAAAAACATAACAAATTATTGTTAATTGCTGATCATAAAACGACAAAAACTCCCTTTGCTCTAACAGGAAATCTGTCTGTTTTTCACAAAACAAAATCTCCTGAAATGCAATGAAAAACATTTCTCTCATTAACGCATGATTCATATAGAAATGACTGGGATAATAAAGTAGACTTTTTGACAGGTAAATAAAGATTTCCTTTCATTTAAGCAATGTTTTGGGTGTGAGTTGTTTTCATCCTTTCTGCTCAACATTTTGGTTCTGCTGGCGTAAAGAACAGTATGCCTGACATAATTGGGTCCCTTTTGGCTCTGGAAAGAGCATGCAAGCTGATAAAAGCTGGCAGGTTGATCAAAGCATTAGTGCATCTGGATCAACATTGTACACCTGACACAGTTGTAGTTTATCCAGGCAAAAATCACAAACTATGAGAAAACGTATTTCAGAGAGTATAAACAACTAAAGCAACTGAAACATGATGATGTGGTGGCATCTGTAAAGTTAAGTTGTATATTTTATAGTTTTTTTTAGTGAAAGAAAATAATAGTTTATTTTATAACTGAACTCATCTCTTGACCATAGTTTAGCATGCTCATTTATTTTATTCATCTTTATGTGCTTCCCCTTTGTCTCTTTGACTTTTTCATGTTAATTCCATTTTTTCCTCTTAATATAACATGCATAGATATCGCTCATCCTTCCTTTATTTCCTTTACCAGCATCACTCTTCCCATCCTTCATCTCGCCCTCCTCCAGACTCATCCATCGCCGCTCCTTCACCCCCAACCTTAAACCTATACTTTTCCGTCTCTTCCACTCTTTCACCAACCCCACCCTCCTTGAATTTCTTCCCCGTCTCATATGTCAGTTCCCAGTCCAGTCTTCCACTTGCCTAGTCATCATTTTTTTCACACAGTCCTGTCCCTCTAATAGGGCCTGTATCATCATATCATATAATGTAGAATACCAGATCACAGCCAGAGATGAAAGATGGTCTCCACCTATCCCCTCCACCAGCCGCACGCATGCACACACACACGAACACTCACAAAACTGCGCTCACACACGTCAGTGGTCATATGGGACATGGATCCAAGTTGATGGCTGTCTCTGTGAACATTTCTGGCCCTCATGTTTGCAGCAAAATGCTGATGGGGTTGTTATAGCTATGACAGGTGAGTTGGTGTGTGTTGCAGGGGTGTCCAGTGATGTTTGTTTTAACTGCCAGGGGCTTTTGTTAGGAGACAAAGGATGCCTCGGAGCTATAGTGTCAAATCTGCAGGTAACCATCAAAATAAAGCAAACACCAACACAAAGCGTCTGGGGAGTGTTAAAATAGCTCAGTTTCCTTCACATCAGTTGGGTGAAAGCCTTTTTTTTTTTTGTACAAAGTTATAGAAATAAAAAAACAGGGAATATAATTGACTTTTATGTCCACAGAATGATAGACTGAAGTCACACAATAGGAGGCTGGATTAAAAAATATATATTTATAGAGGTGATGAAAGTTTGCAGATTCAGTTTTTGCTGGTATGTTCAGATGTGTAATAGCCAGTCAAAATCCATTGTATATCTTCTGTAGACAACAAGGAATGTATTTCACACATTATATTTGGCTGAAATAATGAATTTCTTGTGTCATTATGATGTTATTTATGATCAAAATTGACCCTTTAAGACTTTACAACAATGTTTTAGCCGCCACATGCGTAGTGGAAATGGTCTGTGAGATGTGTGGTGCACCTAGGACAAAGAATAGGTATTTAATTCATAAACCCCAAACTAAATGATCTAGAGAAATGTGCTTAGGAATTCAGTTCATTTTAATTTCAGTTTAAGTCAACCCAATTCAGTTCAACACATTCTGCTTCAATTTAGCTGAATGTGATTCAGTTCAGTCTAATTCTGCTTACTTGAGTTTCATTCTGTTTGATTCATTCAATGAATTCTCATCAACTGAGTTTGGTTCCTATTCATACAGTTTATGCCACTACAACGAAATGTTACAGTCAGATTTAGATCCAAATGTATGAAGTCCACCGTAATCCAAAATATAACAGAAATACAGTCTAATTCAATTTGCCATTCAATGTCAAAAGGTAAAAACCAATTAAGGAAACTGTATCATCTTGTTATCTTTGCTATGGTGCTTCATCTCAATCACAACAACGAATAATATGGAACAGCCAGATTTTATTTAAAACTGAGCCTAATTATTCAAGTACAAAATAGCACAATATACAGTAAAGCATAGGGAAAAAAAATATGGAAAAAAAACAACAGTAACAAGGAATAAGAGACAAATCTAAAAAACATGAATAACTATTAATGTTCTGATATGACTTGTACTGTTTTTATGTGAGACAGCCTATCTGACTAGTTTCAACTACTTTTTCAGTCACAATAGATTTTTCTTAAACCAGATACGAAACAACAAAACTTGTTAATAAAAGATTTTTTCAACTAACCTGAGATTTATCTTTAAAACAACGAAAAGAAATGCAAGTAACCAGGGAGAACCGATCAGACATGGGTAGAGCATAAACCCCTCACCCAGACCACATTGAAATGCAGCATGGTGGCATCAGTGGTAGCATAGCATAAAAACAGATTTTTTTGAGAGTGGAACATTTGTACATGGAGTTCAAAACCAGGTCTCTTGGGTAGCATTTTACAAATGTTCTGCCTGGCCAGGATTGCCTCCTGCCCCAGAAATCAGATTCCTCAGCTGAGCCATGGACAGTGTGTGCTTACTGAGAAAGAAAATATCTCTAACCAATTGTGAAAAGCATAAAGAAAGAAAGAAAGAAAGAAAAGAGCCTAAGTTTGAGTCAACCATTTTGTCTTTGGTCCCATACTCATATTCCCACCTCTGAAGCCTGTTTAGCAAAGCAGAAGGGTATTTCCCATATTTGACTCCATCAAATATCTTAAAAGCATCCAATTGCTTTGTTACAACTACATCTGGCTTTTTATAATCTCCTTGAGTTTATGGTACTTGCATATTCCAACTTCCTTCCATGGCCAAAACAAGGCATTTAAAGTTAAGAAAAGGTTCTGAAACCACTTAAATGTGAGTGCCGGTCACTTCACCTCTTCAGCGTCTCTTATCATTTTCACTTTGGCCTACTTTTAAAATTGTGAAAGCATATTCCTATCAGACACTGCTGTGTTGTGTTCAGGTTATAGTGGTGGGGTTGGAGTTTATCCCAGCGGTCAACAAGGTATTCTTTGAACATTTAACCAGTCCATGACAGGGAAATACTAAAACATATGAGACAAACATTGATGTGGATGGATTGGTCTTTTAAAAATGCTTTGCCTTTCATCCCAACCTGCTAGCCATAAACAAACCATGTTCTTTGAATCTCATAAAATTATTGAATGAATGAATGAATGAATGAATGAATGAATGAATGAATGAATGAATGAATGAATGAATGAATGAATGAATGAATCCTTGCAGTTTGTGGTAGAATTTACTCTTTTGCTAAAAAAAAAATCTAAAGTATTTTAGGGCATATTGGCACTGTTTGGATAATAGAACATAACTTTTTCACAGTTGTCATTTTATACAATGTAACAACTTGTTTTCACGTGTACATGAAAATTAAAAAAAAATAAAAATATAATTTAAATCTTAAAGTATTGACATTTTGTTATCAAGGACCTGAGTCTGACAAGCAATAACACCTTTAATCCTCCACAGGTTAAAGAAGTGTTGTGCAAGAAGTTAATCGCTCCCATTGCGGTCTCTGCAGATTTCACGCATTTCCCAGAAACAGTCGGAGATCAATTCACTCACTCAAGTCATAATCGACATTGGACAAAGTTCTAATTATTTTCCTTTTTCAGGTTTTCGAAGCAGAGCAGGGGGATTTATCTTTTCCTTTCTCAGATTTATTTTCCTGCGTAAACCCGTATATTGATATTATCAAGGTGAACCAACACAATCTGATTTGAACCACGAGAATATGATTTGAAACATGTTCCATTCAGACTGAAGTTTAATGTGAGTCGTGTAAGAGAACACCCTTATTAAAATGTTCTGTTTTGTCCATGAGCACGACCTTGGAAGCTGCATCCAGGTAAAAGTGAGGAGAGCTTCTCAACTCAATTATGTGTTAGAAATGTTTTGCACCCTTCTGTGCCTTCCTCCTCTTTATATACTTTTTTTTCCCCCTCAAGACTGCACACTATTTCACTTTTATCTACAGATAGCAGGACTTTGTGTTATCTTTTTTGTTTGGGGGAAGATTCAGTAGTTGCATCCACCCCATGATCCCAACAGACGACAAGATATAGAAGTGTGAGTCTGCAAAGTTTACACAAAGAAAAATGAAGGGTTACTGAAACTACACTATTTTTCTGCTTACCCTCTCAGTAAATCTAGGAAGCCGTAGATGGCTCTAGTGTTCTACAGTAAGCCAAGCAATTGTATTTCTTTTAACAAGTAGCTCGATCAAAATTTTAAATGAAATGTACCAGATACGAAACAACAAAACTTAATAAAAGATTTTTCAAACAAATATGGAACTGATTATGAATACACTGTAGAAGACATAATTCAACAAGACTAAATCAAAATCCTTCTGAGGCCACATTATAAATGTCTAGGAATTAAGGATATAAAGACAAGATCCTGACACTGAATTTAGTATTTTGTAAACCGATATCACTGTAATATCTGTGATATCACAGTAATATCTGCTTTTCATATCTGATTTTTATTTATATGACACTGGAAGAAACACCCACAGGAAAATAATGTTGACAATGTAGCATAGTTTAGTCACCAAATAAACTATGATTTTCTCGTATTTTTTGAATATGAGAAAACGTTCTGGCATATTCTGGCGTATGGATGCCATAGCTTTAGTTTACATATACACCACAAAATCAACACAACGGCAAATCATCTCCGCAGTGCCATCTGAACCCTTTTGTCGATGTCCCATTTTCCTGGCATGCAAGATTTTTGACAGTGATGGTGAAGCTTGCTCTACTATCTAAATAATTCAATTAGTAAATATCTGACCACTTCTGGAATATTTACAACAAAAAAAATAAAATAAATCAAATTCAATTCAGAAATGGTGAATTGTTCTATAGATTTAAGAAATAAAATTAACATACATCTTTCAGTGAAATGCACACCCTTGCTCCCAATATACATACATTATTCAGAACAGGAATGCATCAAAATCACCTTGAAGATTTGATAGTATTTGCTGGTTTGCAAGACATATAATATGTATTGTTTTATATAGAATTAACAGTGGGACCGCAGGCTTAACAACTGTGAGTTCATTCAAGTAAACGTCATTCAGATGAACTGTTAATGTGTTCATTGACTAAGTTTTGTGTTTGGAAAGTCCTCAAAATTCTAAGCTTTACTTATGGCAACCAGCTATAGCATTTCTGAAAAGGGCAAAAAAGTCAGTAAAATATACTATATACTGTACTGCCATAAAATATACAGGGAAAACCTTAAGAAAAAAAGTTTGTATAACCAGTACACTAACTCATAATAGATTGCCTTTTCACACCTTGGTATTTTTGGTTGGTTTTGGGAAGATCTTAGCCTTGAAATGGGGATAAAGTGCAAAAACCACTGAATTATACTTTGACATGAGTGTGCTCTGAGTGTTACACTGCAGTCCTAGATACTCAGTCTACAAGTGTGCAGGTGGTCTTTTGTCAAAAGTGAATTAATAACATGATAGTTACCTGTTATTACTTTTGTACTTTAAAAACAGTAAAGCTCGGTGTGAGGTCGTTGCACTTCATGCTCAATCTATCTGCAAAGTCTGCACTTAATAAAACAGTGGGACTGACTATGTTAAACATTTCTTGGTAAAAATGAAAGTCCAGCAGCAAAGTTTCCTTGCTGCACCTGAGAGTTCAATAAGGGCAGCTAGCGTATGCTCCTTACCCATGATACGAGCCGTGAGTGACTGTTGCCATGCAGTATGTGACGTAGTGATTGGCATGAGCAACATATCAATTATGATACAATTATTTTGAGGGCCAGCCATGAGCTTGATTTCAAGATGAAATGAGTAAAGATGTACTTGCCATGTATGGATATGAAACTGGATACAAAATTATGAATTTATATCATTGTATTATATTATGTCTAAAGGAGCACCAACGAAATTTGGTGTTTCTACGCAGGCATAATTTGTGGCTTCGTACTTCATCAAATAAGCCAAAGGCAAAACAGTAGTACAAATAAATAAATAGACTTCAATGTATAAGACTCAATGTTGGAAGACCAGGGTTGGTTGCATGTGATATACTTGCTCAAGGTCTTTGCTATAAAGACAGCAACATCAGCTTTGAGGCACTTCAGAAAACCACTTTCACTCATCAGTCAGAACTGCCCTACACTGCAGCCAAAAGTGTTTTATACTGAATCAACATGATACCTTGAACCAGCTCTGCATACAAACACCACCAGGTTATCTGGGCATAATGTTTCTCACAAATGGCACAAAACATCACATTTTTTCTTTTTTTTTTTGCAGACTGCAGATCACAAGAGAAAATTACATTTTCATGTTCAGTCATTTCTTTGGTTAAATGTACATCCAGAATATACAGAAAAACAGAAACATTGCTGACATTCTGTCCCAGTCCTCAATAATGACAACATGACACTGTGACAGGCTGCTGTCATACAGCATCTCGGCATTGACTGTAGCATGTGCGGTTGCAGTGTGTGTCCTTCTCTTTTTGTCCAGTTGAGAGTGATTGATTTTGAAGTGCAGAACGTTGACAGTGTTCAGCTATCCCAGGAGGTATGAGACCATGGGCCCGAAACAGAGAAGCAGCCATCGCTTTCTTTTTCTCTCTCCTGCATCTGCCCTTTATTTCCACACATCTCTCAACCCTATTCCTTGTCCACTTTTTTTTTTTACCCTCTCCCTGCTATTTTTACCCTGCTCTGATGGCTTTATTGATAGGTAATATCGATATTTATGGCTGGATAAAATGAGCTGCCATCTTAGAAGTGCAGGGTAGGAGATCCCTTATGTGGGCCAGAAAAAGACAGACATGCTTGCTGACTTTCTTTGAATTCACAGCTGCTCGAGCTAATACCGCAGAGATGCAGCCCCCTGTCATTCATAGGAAGAAAAGAAAAACAGAGAAGATGCGAAACAAAATAGTTTCAAATGCAATACTTTTTAGACAACTATAGGTTTATGTATGTTGTGGATATTCTATCAATATACATGTATTTATCACATAGATCACATGCTCATTCTTGAAGAAAGAGTTAACATTTTAATTCTTCAAGAATTAAGAAAGGATTATTCTAAAATTCCACGCCTATTAGTGATGAATCATGCGTTTGTTCAACCTAAACACAACATCAAAGAGGAAAATACTCAATTCATTTTGTGCAAACAGTATGTTTCAGCAAAGTTTCTTCAAATCCTGACCTCTTGACGTCATTCATGTTGGTCATATAAATGTCAGATTTGGATATTGTGGATTTTATCGTGCTGCGTCTTCAAGACCTGGTGGTTGTTACGAAGACAGCCAGTAACAAACCGAGCCAGTGATCCTCTCTGCTCCTCCATTAGTGATGTCATGTTACCCACTCCTGGGGCCCCAGCTTTGTTTTCCCATCATGCCCCCGTTGCCTGCTGGTTGGTTTTTAAAGAAGCAGTATTCTTCTTCAGCCTTTCAATTATACCATGCCCTGTAGCAGCATCCTGCATCCTCCACGCACACCAAGACAGGAGCTAAGCGAGTGGGAGGAATTGATTTGAATTTGGTGTCTAATGGGTGTTTTGGTGTTCCTGTGGTGTTTTTTTGTGTGCCTGTGTTTGTACTGTGACTGGCTGATTTTAACTCCCTATAACTAGAGATATTCTGCAATAAATATTGTTTGGAGAAGTGCACTAATACAGAGGAAGTGGGGAAAATGTAGAGGTTATGTCTCCGAGGAAAACCTGAAGCGACAGATTCAAGTCTGTGAAAAAAAAAAAAGAATAACTTGAAACTTGACAGTTCAAAAGTTAACACATTTTCTTTGCAATATAAGCAATGCAGCATATCAAAATGGAATTACAAGCATACGTATTTATTCGAGGTTTTGAGTGCTACAGATTTTTTTAGAAACTGAGCCTTCGACGAGTAGATATGCATAAAAACTTCCATAGCAATCCCAGCTACATACCAGTTCCATGTTTCCCCGTCTCCCTTCCTAAGACTCCCACGGCAACCAGACATGGGTCAAGTTCTTCTTTTAAAAGGATGACAGAGAGGTTGAAACCTTGCAGCCACAAAAACAAGCAGTCTAGACAAGGCCCCACAATCCTGACCCCAGTTAGACCCTGTCCCCCATGGGGGCCCATAACACCTTTGTTTCCATGTTTGATTAATTCAATTTCCCGTCACACTAAAGCAGTCGCAAACGCCATGATATAAAAACTTGATATACCAAACTTTCACTACAGGTATGATGTATGCAGCATAAAGTTACAATGCAAATTTTTAATTATAATGCCAAACCTTTTTTTTTAATTATTATTAACACAAAATATTCACAAACAAAAGTCATTTTGTTTCATCAAATATTCAGCTAAAGTCATTTTTTGTCAAAAGAAAAAACCTTGATGTTTTATTTTTTTATTTTTTCAAAAACATTATTATATTGCAATTGATTTTTGCTAGAGAAAAGAAATACATACGTATTTTTGCTATATAGGACACAGCATTATTAGGGGAGGCTTTTTAAGACGTAAAGCTAAAATTTGGCATGAACAAAAGTGGAATTATTCATAACCCTGGCATATTAAGATTTAAAGCAATCTTTTAATTTTACGTACAAGTTTGTTCTGACACATGCAAAATTAGTTTTAGAGTGACTAGGCCAGAATCCCGACTTGAATCTCATAGAGAATCTGTAGGGAGCTAAAGATAAGTGTGGCGGCAAAAATAAAGAAATAAATCTGAAATTAATCAACATAAATCAGATAAACATTTTCTTTCAATTTCCATGCTACCTTGAAATTATATTTTGAGAAATGCCAGATACATTTGCTTATTTATACATCTGCCTATGCAAGCACATACAAGACATGAAAGCAGATCTAGATTTCAGTTCCCCATCAGTGCAGAATTATAGTTTTGTCAAACCATCTCGAAATACAATCTGGCTATTGTATGAAATCAAAGTTTGGACATATACACCATTTCTTAAATATTCTGAACTTTAACATTTTTAATTCATTTATCTCAATCTTGCAATTTTGCAGGCAGGTTATGTTGTATATACTTCTTAAGTATTTCATTATTCCTTCATATTTTTATATAAATTAAGTCTGACTTTTGATGATCTTTGAAACTGGATCTTCAGGCACTTTGTAGTTCAACGGTTGCCAAAATGTCCTTAAATTTGACTGGGAAGAAGTGTCTTGGAGCTCGTGATTGAATAAATTAGGGCTGATGTCACCTGATTCTCAGCTAGTTTTTTCTCAAAAGACACATCCCTGGTTTTGTTTTAAGCAGTTGAAGGGAGCTGATTTAGACATAAAATATTATCTAATCATGAAATTAATATACAGCTTCTATAACAGGTACAAGTGGAGAGGAGGCTATTGAGAAACCAGACAAATTCATACAAATATAGTTATAGATATAGTTTCTTTAATTGTAGCCAATATTGTCAGGTAGCATGCTGCTGCAAAAGCACATCCACTTTCTTCATTTGTGAAGGACGAGAGCGCTGATAGTGAATGGCCTGGATTTGTATATCACTTTATCTAGACTGAGGACTCCAAAGGGCTACACACTCAGTCACTCGCCCATTCATACACGCTTTTGTTCTTCACCAACATTTTTTTTTGTCTCTCTACCAGTCTGATCCAAAATGACAAGACTAAGAAACCAATGTATGATTTTTCTTCCTTCCTCCAAGTGTTCCTGCAGACTCCTCGTCCACCTCGCTCCATCTTCTGCCGCCCCACGGAGAACTACGAAGTGTCTGAGTCATCCTCGATTACAGTATGTATTTATAGGGAGTAGAGTCAGGACCTGGGCCCTGCGTGTACTTGTTAGTGTGCGTGAGTGCGTGTGTGTGTGTGTGTGTGTGTCTGCGTGTGTGTGTGTGTGTGCGTGGGTGGATAGGTGTCTTCACACTGCCTAAAACAAGGACCAGTTGTTTGATGACTCACCTCGGCCAGTGGACACTGCACACCGGGTGAACTGACGTCAGCCTGACCTTAGACGGAGGAACCGTTTGAAGTGACCTCATTCCAGATTGGGTTAGAAAGGTGAAGTGCTCGACACTATCTGTCAAGACCCTCCGTTTGATTTGCTCATTTTCTCAGCGCAAGACAAAGTAAGCATGTGGCATTGCACTGTATGAACACAAAGCCACATTTACAGATTTAAGCTTTTTGTCTTCCCCTCTACCCACACACGCATAGATGCTTATCCACTGACTCAATGTGTCCAGATACACACATGAACAAATAGTCCTCTACAATGAACTCGGCCAGCATATGCATACAAACTGTGTCTATGGAGGCCTTCATGTTGTTGATGTTTGAACATTTCAATTGAGAAAACTCCGAGACCTGCAGCTGCCTGTCTCGTCTGCTCGGGACAGAGAAAGGGCGGGGGCCCGCTTTTTTTTTTGTTTTGTTTTAGTAGGGAAGGCGAGAATTAAGGCAAGAATGCTTTCTCAATGAGAGATGAGGCATATTGAAAACTATATTAAATTACCCGATTAACAATTTTACCACGATCGGGCAAGCTGTGGGGGGTGCTCCGTGGGGAGGCTTGAAGACTATTCATCCCCACAGTGCCGGGGTCGAAAGGAGCCCCAAGTTCACAGGCTCGGGCCCTTTGTTATGTAAACGCCGTATCCCAAATCAGCTGCCTCCTCCATCGCCAGACACAAGCACTTGCCTGAGAACTTGAGAGAAGTCGTAGCTCCACTGTTCATCTAAAGCCATCCACCCACTCCACCCTGACACACACACGTAAACACACAGGCACTTTCAGGCACAACTTCATATTTCCGTAATTGGAAAGAGGGTGGCAGATGTGCAGCAATGAGTCTCTTTTGTCCTGAATTCATCTATGCATCTTTTGTGTCAAAATGTGTAAAAAAAAAATATAAAGAAAACATACTTTTCAAATCATGAAATTAAGTATATTATTTAATTTGAAATTCAGTTTTTCTTTTTTTTTTTCTTTTTTGTCAGGAAAATATATCAAGTAATATTTCATTAAGAAAGAAGTGTTTTAACCCCCAAGTCTCTTGGGAGTGATAATCAATACAAATTAGGCGGAGAGTTGATAAGACATGTATTAGAGGTCAAGAGTTAAATTCTGGCCAAACAGCCTTGACCTAGGGTCAAAGTATTTAGTGAGAGCACGCCACTGGTGGACAATTACATTGATCTTAAATGTGGACCTGGTGCATTCAATTTCTGAAGAATAGTCAGGAAGAGATGTATAATCTTATTATTTTATTGTAATTTTATCTAGATAATAATATACATTTTAATTTTTGTACATTTCAATTTCTGAGTATGATTTTATATATGAGAAAACCTAAAAAATAAATCATTACAGCTGTGAGTTGCACACAATGTATAATACACTCTATGCCTGATAAACATAAACAACAATATCAATAGGATTAACAACGAAATTAGACAAACTTAGCAAAAAAACAAACAAAAAAAACAAAAAAAAACATGCAATATAATTATATACCACAGTTTTGAAGACCCTGATGGTCCTGAGTTGTGGGCTTGATCAACTGCCCTCTTCTCTCAGCTCTCTATTGTTGTGCCAAAACCATAACCAGGAGAGGGAGAGGAAAAAAAAAAAAAAAAAAACATCTCATCAATGCAAATTAAACGCCCAGAACCTGGGGAGCTTCGGTTAGCTTGCCAGTTCACAAGAATAAAAAAAAAAAATCTAAAAAAAGAAGAAAAAAAAATCACCAGCTTTTACTTCCAAATCTTGCTGTTACATACAGATTCCTCATATTAACATGAAATAGTCAGTCGTATCCGTGGATTAGTCTACAGTGAGTTAAAAAGCCGTATCCACACTCTGGCTGCCACAAGAGAAAATAAGGACGCCTCTAATTCTGCCAGCATAATTGCCTGATTATAATGAGCTTCCCTCTCTCTCTCTCTCCCCCTCTAGCTCTGTCTTAATTTCTCAGTGTGTCTGCTATTGTCCACACACACACATGCAGTCAAACACTGCACCCTAATTCTTATAAATCGATCTTCATATGAAGAGGGGAGGAAAAATTGCATTAATACTTTGGACTGCTACACTTGTGCACTGTGAGTGTAAATGCAATGTGTTTTCTTTTCTCTGCGCTCAATAGTCGAAACAGCATTTGTGCAGAAATAAAAACAATATAAGAACAAGGAAGATGTGGCATAATGGTGACATCCTGGCAAACACAATGACTACAGCAGGCAGTGCAGTTGTTGGTGTTTTAGTCTTCATTTAAATCAACTAGATTTGCACACACCTGAAATTACAAAGTGTGTAATAGAAAATGGAACATTTACTTTTAAAGCCACAACTCTTTTTAGTTTTAAACTTTTTTATGAGTGAGTGGCTGAACAGTAGACACATTATAAAGTACCAGAGAAGATGTTGTATTGCAAGTTTGCATGCATTTTTTTATTCAATTAAACCTATGAGTATGTCTAAAAAATATAGCATTTTATTCAAGTTTTTTTTTTTTATCACATTCTACAGTTTTCTTTTTTTTTTTTACTTCCATGCTCATTGTAATGTTAGTCAAATGCAGCAACATAGACCATAAAAATGAACTGGCAGAAAAAGAAGCAAATATTGATGTCCATAGATAGATAGATAGATAGAGCTGCTTCTGCGAATGTATGTACGTATGTATTTCTACTTATCTGTTATTCTTTCATTAGTAAGTTAATTACCAACAGAAAAAAAAGTTAGCATATTAGTAACTTTCATGTTTGCTATTCTGTGTGTAATATTTTCACTCAACTGCAGCTGCATGCATCGCCTTGTTCCACCAGGATTTGTTTTTCCATCCTCCTAAAACCGCCTAAACCCGGACACGGGCGAAATGAACGTGCCCACTCATGAACACTTTTGCTTAATTATAATCCCTGATGGAAAATCTGCAGAGGGAGAAATCTGAATACATTAGCTCGGATGCAGGGAACATCAGCTCTTATGAGGTTGTGCCTATATGTATAATATTAATTGCTGTGAGGGTTTTCTTCCTATCTACAAAATAAAATAAAAAACACATTTTGTGTGTCTATATTAGCACAGTTGTGCCAGAAGTATGAAAGTGATTGTTAATTTGTTGGATGCCAAATTGAAGAAATAGCTGAAAAGGGTGATTTGATGACAGCAGTCATTTGAATAGACATTTATATAATTTCTAAGTTTTTTTTTAATCACTGACATCAACACAAGTTAATGTGAGCAAAAAATAAAACCTTGTGTTTTGTTCAAAAATGTGTTTTCTTAAATACAAATTACATAAAAAATAAATAAGTGACAACAGGATTTTTTTTCTACTGCTGTTCTGAGGTAACAGCAGCAACAGAAAAGAGGTAAATGAACTGCAGATTTTAAAATAAAGTTTACAGATTTGAGTCGAGGTTTTAACTATATTGTCAGATATTAAATGATTAAGCTATTTAGCAATGACTATTGTCAGTCCTTCACAAAATTGTCCAAGGCAAGCAGGGCGAATTTCTGTGGTTAACCAAATCTGTGCTATGAATCCCACATTACTCTGCTTAAGCAAGAAGCTGCTGGTTTTGGAGGAGAAATGTAGACTGCACATAAATTATTCAGCAGTATTTGCATTTGCATTGTAATTTGCATGCTTGCAGATTAGAGAGAATGAGGAAGGAGGCGCTGCACCAAAGAGAATTACATTTTGAACCATTTTCTGTCCTGCTGGTGAGGAGATGACACAGATTTTTCTTCCATCATCCCCCTTCTGCATCGAGGTACGCCACTGAGATCAGTGGCACACATTTCAAACTGTTGTTTGATTAATAAAAGAAGGAAATGATGTTTAATGCTTAGCAATGCCCGTCCACAAAAAGCCCCGCCATTAAAAATGAATTGTGACATTCAACAATAAGTCTATTTGATTGACTTGGCTGAGATTCCTACTGTAATATTCCCATCGTATTTATTAATATTTTAAGGCTTGTGCTTTAAGCTGAAGCTCCAACGTGCTAGTAAGCACAGAGGAGATGTCGTATGGATTAAACAATAGGAGTGGTGTGAAACTTTCACAGTGTGTCGAAGATCCTGGCTATTATGTTTCATCTAAAAATAACAAGGCTGACTAAAAAGAACAGACAATGCTGGCTAAGAAAAGAATAAAAGGAGGGCAGGCTCCAGAGAGCTGAGAGTTCAAACAGCTGCAGTCACAGTGCTGAGTGGGATGAAGGAAAGGAGAGTAGAAAGTCAGAGACTGTCTTCGGTTTTAAATAAAAATTAAATCACTTGGACGTGTATGGAACAGAATAGATTTTTATTTTTTTATTTTTTTTAAAAAGCTGTCATGATTAAAATTGACTCGTGAGAGACTTTTGTAATATTACATCTGTCTTCATATATTAGAAACATGTAATTCTTCTTGATACATTTGCCCTTTTCTGTTAATAGTGATATCATTTTACTTAACTGGATTAAATGTCGACACCTTTATTAGTATATAACTATCAGATACAACAACAGTGAGATATTTTTGAGATAAAACAAAATAACAACTGTACGCAAGAATATTCTGGCACTGTATGCATGTGTCTGTCAACGTGCCATAAAAGAGTAGTGCTATGCATCAAGGGGGTGGAGTAGATTTCCCTGCAATAAGAGAGGAGGGCTTTGGCAATATATGCGCATGTGCAAATAAAGCAAAACCCTCATGTGCCCACATCGAAATGAACATATTATTCTGCATGCATATCATGAGTGCAAGCACACACGCACAGATGTGTGCACAAATGTGCAAAACATGTGCTCAACCTTGCCTCTTGATAACACCCTGAGCCATGCTTTGAAAAGGATGCAACAAATACAGTAAATATTTTATATTACCCTGAAATACATGGGATGGGACATAAATAAAATAAACCTAAATTTTACAGAATATATCAGAAAACTTGTTTTACATAAACCTAGAAGTGGTAAGTACAAATATTGCAAAACACATTTAGATCTGGTCAGACCCATTGGATTCAGAAACACTCCCATGCAAATATTTGAGGCAGACAGAGTACTCTGTAATTACGAAGCACATCAAACTTACCACTTTTTTTTATTAGGCACAGGCTGATATTGTCATATCTGGGGTTGTTTGATTTGGTTTTGTTTATTTCTGTGTTATTTCGGTTACATCTGTCTTGTTCCTGTTTTCCTTAAGTTAACTTCTTCGTAGTTTTTCTAGATATGTTTATTTCTTATTATTTGTTACTGTGGCTTTATTAGGTTTCTTTAGTCTAGTTATTATTTAGTGTTAGAATTATTTCTTGTTCTCCTGTGTACTCTCCCTCGCCCCCTGTGCTACTCTCTCTCTTTCCCTCCACTCACACCTGCAATTAATTAGCTCATCAACCCAAGTCTTTTGTTCAGCATGCAACTTCCCCAGTATTTAACCCTCTCTTTCTCACTCACTACTTGCTGGATCCTTTCATCTACTCCCATCACTTCCTCTTTCCACTCTGTGTTCTCCTCATGTCCCCTTGCTGGCTTCTTTCATGTGTTTTTTCGTAGTTTTTATTCTTCTTCATTAAATTATACGCCTCCGTCTCCTGCTATTGGGGCCATCGACTACCATCCAACATGGCAGTTATGAAATTCTTTCAGTATAAAGTGTTGAGCCAAAGCATCCTGGTTTTATGGTGTCATAGTATTTAGACTAAATCTTAAAAAGAAACGGTGCATGTTACAATTGCTTTGATTTAAAACTCAAAGGTATAACATCAGAAATATAGCGACAAAAACTTGAACATTTTAAGAAGAATAAACAGATTGGTTAGAAATTATTGAAAAGCAACTACAGCTTAAGCTGTAAAGGAATGGGGAACACCATGTCAGAACACACAATTCATCAAATTTTGAAGCTGATGCGCTACAGCATCAGCAGACCACACCAGTTGCCACTTCCTCCAGGTAAGAACAGGAAACTGAGGCTACAATTGTTAAAATCTCATCGAAATTGCACTAGAATAGATAGAAACAACAAAAAGCTATGCTAAATGCTCTGAAAAACAAAACAAAAGATTATTTCAATGAATTTACACTTGATTTTATATATATATATATATATATATATATATATATATATATATATATATATATATATATACTGCTCAAAAAATAAAGGGAACATTTCACTTTAATTTTGTGTGTGGCTCCAAATCCAGGCCTCCATTGGTTAATAAATTTGATTTCCATTGATGATTTTTGTGTGATTTTGTTGTCAGCACATTCAACTTTGTACAGAACAAAGTATTCAATGATAATATTTCATTCATTCAGATCTAGGATGTTTTATTTGAGTGTTCCCTTTATTTTTTTGAGCAGTGTATATATATAAAGGAAAAAGTACTATGTAGCTGATGTTTCAAAAGAAACAAATCGTATATGGATAAAGCTGAGAATTGCATCATAATTATGCAGATGAACCTGTGATCAGTACATGTTGCTATTATGTCAGTGAGGATGAAAATCTTTAAAACCTTGTTGAATCTAGACAAAAATAAAGCAGTTCTGATGGTAACAGAGTGACTTAACCAGGTGGCACTATGTCAATAAAATACATATATAAATCGGTTGTTCAGTTGCAGGTTCTATTATTTG